GGAAAAATAATTTATTATAGTGTTTTGGAAAGCTCTCGAGGTAAGCTACAAAAATATGCAATGAAAAATAGGGGGTTCCATTTAAAAAAAATGCACTTCCAGTCTGAATCGCCTATTTTCGGCCGGAATTAAAAGTTGAAAATATCACCATTCGATGGAGCGCGCCCGATTTATAAAGAAAATGTTTTTACTTTTTTGAAATAACCACTTTTCTAGCTTTTAAATGGGTGGTACGAATAGTCTGAAACACCCTGTATATTAGTAGTGTAAAAAGTTTTCTTGTACATATGGAGCAAAAAAACGAGATATTTATAAACATTAAAAATACTATTATTTATGCGTTTTACTCCTTGCAATTCAATTAATCTTGGAAAATATCAATATTCTGCTTCACAAACATCTTGAAATAAAAAATTCACTTTAATCTTTCTTGTTGTAATAGAGCAAGACGCTTAGCTGCCTTCGGCCACACGCGATTCCAGCTGCCAGTTATCGAATAAAGTGGGTCCACTCAATAAACATGGGACATCGTCGATCAAGGTCACAGATGATAGGTCACAGATTTCACAGTTCTCATCACCTAACCACTCACGCAACCAGATACGACCGCCAGCAACACATGCGTTAAATTAGATGTAACTATCGTAGAGTATTAATAATAATAAATAATCAACTGATTGTGCGATCAACGCGATATCAATATCTATACAGCACAGAACCTTGCAGTAACATTGCTATCATGTTGCAACATTGTACATTGCAGTATAATGTAGTAAAGGTATTGCAAAGATATTATTTTATAATATTATTTTACAATATTATTTTAGCAATGTTGCAGCAATATTTAAAAATAGTGAAAATATATAATAGTGGTACACGTATCTTTCGAAGTATATTTCTTTTCTTTTATCAATTTAATTTCTAATGAACTGATTTAATTCAAAATAATTTAATAATCTGGATTCCTTGTTGGATTTAGAATATTAAACAAATTATTTAAAATTAGACGGATAAATAGGAAATAGTCCATTTATTGCGTGTAAGATTACTATTGCCGAGTGTATGTAAGATAGTTGTATAGATTATCGACATAAAAAAATAGATTTTTTAATTAAAAGTTTGTTATTAAATTTATTTTGATAATTTATACAACTATTATTAATAGATGTTTTTTTTTAAATATTTTATAAGCAGTTAATGGACTTTTAAATAAATGTTTTATAGAGATCTAATTCGAAAGACAAAAATGTCTAATCGACCACATTTTATATATCTTTATAAATTTCCAAGATTTTTATAAATTTTCTATTTTATATATTTTTATCAATTTTCATGTATCAAAAGTAAAAATATTCTGTATGCAATATTACTAGTTACAATAACGTTGCGTTTTTTCAACTATATTACATTGCAATATTGCTATTATATTTCATTGTAATATTACAAAAAACGGACATTTTAACGTTGCTACAATTTTACAACCGATTTGCAATATTGCAATGTTTCAATGAAATTATTCTCAACTTTTCTGTGCTGTATGGGAATCACATGTATAAACAAAAGTTAAGTGTTAGTGTTGTAGGTTTAGTGCGAAAGTTTCATAGAGTTCAAACAGATTAGATAAAAATATATAAGTACATATATATAACGTTAATCAATGTTTTAGATAAAAAAATGTAGCATTGGTCATTCGTATATTTTTGCAATTTTTATAAAAAATTTTATAATTTTATAAAAATTTTTATAAAATTACATACAAATGATTCGAATAGTACATATTTTTATACATATGTATATAATAAAATTGCATGACCAATAATGCTACATTTTTTTCTATAAAGATTGATTGGCGTTAAATTGACTTCGCCTCGCATGCGCGAAAAAATTAAAAGTTCTACCACCGACGATTTATTAAATTTAATAATTGCGAAATATAAATAATAACAGCGAATTATTTTTAAGTTATAAATATGTAGTTTCAATTTTGAAGTCATTTGACAATTTAATCTCATATAGAGGTCTTGAAATTCAATTGTAATTAATTAATTCGTAAATTTCATTATATGACGTGGAAATGTTCGAGGTCAAACGTTAATTGTAACATATAAAAAGAAAGAAATCTAGTGCGCTACGAAAGCCAATGGAAATCAAGCCTGTATCAAAAACCTATCGATATAAGCCAGGCCGCTAAAAGAAAATAATAAAAATTTGAATTAATTTTTTGCGATCTTCTCTCCAATTAAACCGACGAAAAATCCATTGTTCTCGCAATAGTTTAAGATCTTTCTCGAATCTCAATGTCTCACCGGAGACAGTGTGTTGTCATCACGAGAAAATTAAAATCGCTCGCTTTAATTTTTAACAAAGCTAATCGTCGAATGTCACCGAGTTATAGTGATTTCGTGGAGTTTTATCGCTCGTTATTATTATTATTTATCACAACTATTTCATTCGCAATATTTTGACCGGTCAAGTGAATCGTTTTTTTTCGTCTCCGTTTTTCGCGAAACTCCACTTCTTTTCCATCATTTGTAGAACTCGGCTTCTCTCTTTGTCGCTCGCGATATATTAAAACTTGTATAAATATTAAAACCTTGTATATATTCGGTAAATATATTTTGATGTAATATTTTGTAATATTTTGATGTAATATCAAATATAAAGGCTGTGAGATGAATTTAATTAAATCTCTATGTTAAGTCAATAATCCTTCCATCGCATTGTACTCGAACAATATTAATTTTACTAATAATAATAGGTATATAGTTAATTTCACAAAATTATTTCTTATAAAACTTGCCTTATAATTCTTTAAAAAATAAAAAAATTTTTTAAGAATTCTATAAGTAAACTTGCATAATTTTAAATGTGTTTAGTAATTAATTGAATTTATAAATTCATATAAATATTCATAAATTCATATAAATATAATTCGTTATAAATTTAAGTTATAAAATAAATATAAGGAAAGTTACTTTTAATAGTTTACGATTCTTGTAAGTTTCGATTCTTTAAATTTGAAACAAAATATATTAGTATCTCATTTAAGAAATTAAATTGACAAAAATTTTTAAATAATGAAATTAGATTAGTTTTCTGCCAAGAATGCATCTTTATATAATTACAAAAGTAAATATATCTAATTTGCAGGCTAAATGACCACATGGAATAAGAATATGGTAAGTAACTAATAAAATTATAATTAATATACCTTAATTATGAAAATCTATAATGACGATTAAAATTGATAAAATCAAGTAAAATTGAAATATAAGCAAGCAGATTAAATTTCCATTTTATAAGTATAATACAGAAATGAAATTAATAAGCAAATAGCACTGAAAATAGAATTTGAAAATGGCGGGACAGTAAAAATGGAATAGTTCTATATTTAGAAATTGAAAAAAAACAAAGGATAAGAAGTATAAGTTCAAAAATAAAAAACAAACATCCAATAACATCGATTGTTTGACGTTATTTATTTGGAAAGAAAGATAAAGATAGACATATATTTAAGGCCGGGTCTATAATAGGTAATTTAAGCTTTAAGAAATTGACCAATCACAATCAAGTATGAAGAGAATACTCGACTGTGATTGGTCAATTTTTTAAGGCTTAGAGCTTAAATTACCTAGAGAACCTCAAGGAGAGAGAATGGACAACTGATCATGTGACATGTGATCAAGCTTTTTCATGATTGGCTGGCAGAAAATGTATCAATTTTAGCTATTGCGACGCCAATGCAAAATATGATGACACACAAATAGGACACACATGACACACATATATTAACTTATTTGTGTGCATCATATTTTGCATTGGCGTCCCAATAGCTAAAATTGATACATTTTCTGCCAGCCAATCATGAAAAAGCTTGATCAGTTGTCCATTCTCTCTCCTAGAGGTTCTCTAAAATTACCTATTGTAAATTGGGACTAAAGCCGGGTTTACAATCTCTTAAGGCTTGAGGCTTAAATTGCCTAATGTAGAATCGGCAGCGTTTGCTGGTATCTAGATAAACTTATCTAGATAATCATCTAGATAAAGAAATGAATCATCTTTATTTTTAACTAGATGAAGAAATACAATGTATCTTTATCTTAGATGAAAAATATGTCATCTTATCTAAAAATTGTCTAAGATGACGTTTTCATTATGCAAAAAAGTTTTCCAGACAAGCTTCTAAAAATTTATCTAAAATATCTAAAATAATTTTTTATATTATTATTATAAATATATTATAAATATAAATTAATAAATAAATATTTATAATATCATTTATACCTTTTTGCTATTATTTCTTTATAATATTAAATATTTTTTAGGAAAAGAGAAAGAATATGTGTTTATGATTTTAATATCTCATTTATAATCTGCGTCACATTTTTTATAAATATTTATAGTCTTCTAAAATAAACAAAAATATCTAGATAGTTATCTAAATTATCGCAATAATCATCTCATCTTTCATCTAGATTAAGTAAAAGCAAAATCATCTTTATCTCATCTAAGATAAATTTACAGATTTTTATCTTTATCTTTATCTAGATAATTTTGAAATTATCTACAGCAAACATTGAGAATCGGCCTAACAATTGAACATGATTGGTTTTTACTTTCAGATTCGGCCAATCAGCGTCGAATTGCATCGGAAGATTTAGTAATATTGCCCAATCCATCTGAATGCGGCCATTTAGATAGCTAAATAAAAAACACCCTATATCCACCGGTTTCTAGAGTAACTCGTACGATTAACCAATCAGAGAATCCTACTTTGAATTGGCTAATAAGCGATGTCGGGAGATTCCTAGCAAGAGACACACATAAACGAAACGTTACACTATTGGCTGTCAAATAGGAACATTTTTTTACAACTAAAAATCCTCCGCTCGATAACCAATCGTGTGACATAATCGCGTTGACGTATTTTTCTGACGGAGAACTTCCTACATAAATAAAATTTCGAAAGTTAACAATCTATTTACCTAAAAATCCGTGATCAGAGTCATGGCTCGGAGTCGACACGATCATTCGTGTTTGACGAGTGCGGAGAGTTGCACGATCTCGGTGTCGTTACGGGACGAACGATGCGCGTAAGTGACAGTAATGACCTCATGAAATCGTGGAATTGACGACGAGTGAACGTGAGCGTTGGAAAATGAGGCAATCGTGCTTTTCGTACCTTTGTATTCAGCGTAAAGGTGGACGATCGTAAATCAGCGCAAACGCGGGTGTGCGAGCTGTTTCCATCGACCCGACGTCGCATGCCATAATTTGACAGGTGGTGCTCGCTACACCTGTTATCCGCGTGCTGGCTCCTTAGCGCGGCCCTGACGCGCCAATCGCACTATGTTCGCTACCTTGAAGAATAAGATACGCGAGGAAATCGGGAGTGACGTGTCCACCGTTATCAGAAATGCCGGGAGTATACGCGCCATAAATTCCAAGCATGCGTCTCAGGTAAATATTCCTTCGATTTCAGATTTCGCTCGGTGAATTTTCCTTCAGGAAATTTTCTCGACGACTCAACTTTGGAAAAATTGTCCTGTCAAATTTTTTTGGTTTCATATTTACGCAAACGTAATCAGATAAAAGAAATAGTCGTGTATTCTAAAATATTAAGTTACTTTTGATTTAAATATATAGGGTGTCCCAGACTTAATGAATCAGCCGTTGATGGTAGATTGCTGAGATCATTTGGAGACGAAAATCTTAATACCAAAATGTTGACCTATGTCCTTGAACATAGGAGAACGTAACGCCGATTGGTAATCTTTAATCTTTTATAGCGCCGAAACTATATCTTCCTTGACATTTTGGTATTAAGATTTTCGTCTCCAAATGATCTCAGGAATCTACCATTAACGGCTGATTCGTTAAGTCTGGGACACCCTATATATTTAATAGTCATGTTATAAAATATTAAACTATTAAATATTAAATTAAATAGTCACATAAAATCAAACTAAATTATATTTAATTTAAATATATATTATTTTAAGATTCAGAAGTGTCTCCCTGTAAATTATAAAATTCATAGGAAAATATAGAAAAAGATATAGAGAAAATACACAAAATTATAAACTTATAAACATACAAAAAAAGAACTTTTAATTGTAAACAATATAATGTATATTTTTGATTTAATTTATTTGTGAGAATATAAAGCTATTATATAATTTTATTATACAGCTCTTTTAAGATTGATTATATTATTATTGTTACAGACAGGTTCTACAAGTAGTGTTAGCGGTTCTCAGGTATCATTAGATGGATTGAGGGAAGAAAGTGCATCTCCGTTGCCATCAGTTTCATCAAAAGGAGAGAATAGTCTTGAACCCAAGCCTAACGATGGAATACAGTTAACTACAAAAGATATGAAGAAGCTTGAAAATAAAGAAGATGAGTGGCGAAAACGTTTAGCAAAGAAAGAGGCAGAAATATTGAAGCGAATGGAAAAACAGGAAGAAGAATGGAAAGTCAGGCTTCTTGAAAAAGAGAAAGAATGGAAGAAGGTCGTAGAAAAGCAGGAGAAAGAAAAACGGAAATTACAAGAGGAGATAAAAAAGATAGAAATAGCGAAACAATCTTTAGAGCACGCTCTTAAAGATGCGGAAGGTATTTATAGCTTATCAAATTTCTAAGATATTAGTGTTTTCATCTTTTCATGTATATATGCACATATGTAAACACAGAGTATCACGTAAAAATTACTTAAAACATATAATACCATTATATTCCTAAACTAAAATGGATTAACTTTCTCCTTCTGCAAAAGTTTTGATAACGCTTAGTTTTTACCAATTTTTTAATCAATTAGATTTCATTGATGAAATATAATTGAGATGTACATGTTAGATTTTTAGGGAATCACATGCACATATACAGGGTGGCCCCGAACGTTCCAGCCAGTCTTTGAGATCTTACAGGAAATTCTGAGCAAAAAATTTCCCTATAAACATGGATCGAAAAATGCTTTCTTTAAGAAGTTATCGCTTAAAAACTTCTGATGAAGGAAGAGCAAAAGGTGAAAAGAAAATGAAATAAAAAGAAAATGAAACTAAATGAATTTCTTGAAGAAAACGATAAAAATAAAAAATAAAAATCTTTTTCTTTTATGAAAATAAAATAAAAGTTAGTTAAAAAAAATTATTTTATTTTTATAAAAGAAAAAGATTTTTATTTTTTATTTTTATCGTTTTTTTTCAAGAAATTTATTTATTTTCATTTTCTTTTTATTTCATTTTCTTTTCACCTTTTGCTCTTTCTTCATCAGAGGTTTTTGAGCGATAACTTCTTAAGGAAGCATTTTTCGACCCAGTAGGAAATTTTTTCTTCAGAATTAAATTTCCTATAAGATCTCAAAGTCTGATTGGAACGTTCGAGGCCACCCTGTATATGATCAGATATTCTGTATAAAGAGTAAATGTTTGATATAGAGATTCCCTCTTTAATCTTTTTAAATATGTATATATTTATATATATTTTTAGTAATGAAAATCGATTCTTCTTGAAAAACTCATTCTCGTTTTATATAATTATATTTTTGTATAATTTTGTTTCAATGCAACTCTATGCAATAATATTATAACAGTAAGCATTTACAATAATAATAAAGTATATACATTGCAGATTCTTTATCATCTATTTTATGTATTTTGAGAGAAAATTAACATTTAAAATGCTCGAAAAAATTATCACTTTTATTTAATTTCGTTTTTGTATAATGATAAAGCAATAAATTTTTTCTTCAAATATTATTAGAGTGCAATATTATTTACAAGGATAGACTGTAATATTTTATAGTTATTTAGTACGCTTTATGATTGCTTAAGGAAAAATAAAAAATTAACATTTTATGCACTAAAACTGCAATTAATTATTTTTTTAATAGCTTAAAAAATTATTTTAAAAAAGATTTAACAAGGATTTTTTGTTTGATTCTTTTCATGTTCTTCTTTAAAATCATTTAACCCATTTTCTTCTACATCTGATAACATTAATATAAATCAATGTGATAATTTCAAATGTCTCATTCTGTACATAATGTTTTGAAATAGAAGATATTAGTTTGGAGATTATGATTATTATTACTCTACACATTTCGAAATATATAAAGTTCTAATAATTATGAAATTATGAATCATTCATTAAGAATGCATTTTTTAAACTGACAATCTTTATATTTAATGAATTAGACAAAGCAGGCTAGTATAGTCGATCAGATAATAAATAAAATAAGATTAGATAGCTGACTAGTTAAAGCAAACTTATATATGTATAATAAACATATCAAAATTTTTTAAATAATTTTTTCTTAAATATTTTGTTTTCAATCGATGAAACTTTAAAAGAACACATTTTCTTATATTTACTAAACATTTACATTTCTAATCTTATAATTACTTTTAAACTTTTTCGTATCTTGAAAAGAATGAGGAAACACTTCTTTCTGATGACTTCTATTTCGAGCATATCTTGTGTTTATATGTTGTGTATGTGTGTGTGTGTGTGTGTATTATCTTTTCTCATTATGTTTTAGAATATAAAAAGAAGTTGTACAGCTTTCAAGAAGATGCAGAACAGCTGGAAGGTTTTCAAACACAGGAGATGGCAAAAGTTAAACACCTTGTATGTGTTATTAAAATAATAATATATGTAGGAGAGGATTGATTTATGACTTTCTGTTTCTATTCTATATAGAGATGTACATATATTAACAGAATTCTGTATGTTGGTGCTGTATATAAAAAATTGGGACATTAGATATTGCAATATGAACAAATTTTTTAAATAAGTATTTTAATTTTAATTTTTTTACATATTTAATTTTAGTTATTAGTAAAATGAATCTAATAATGTATGATAAAATCGTTAAAATTTGTTAAAATTAAAAAAATGACAAATCGTTAAAATTTGTTAAAATTTAAAAAATGTTAAAGCATTATTAATTTTTAATTTTTATTATTAATTTTTGAATTCTATAAATAAAAACAATGAAATTTTTATAAAATATTTATGATTTTATTTTTGCATCTGTTACTTGATTATTATAATTTTTGCAACCTGTAGATAATTTTTTAATTCTAATATATTATTGAAACAACTTAGATTAAGTATGTAATAATTTTTTGCAGTTATTGGCAAAAGAGCAGGAAGTAGATGAAAAGACGTATCATTTGAAAGCTGCTACAGCGGAAATAGAAAGCTTGAAGACAGAAGTTTCCCGTCTCAGACGATATGAAGATGAATTAAACGATATACAAGTAAGTTGAATTAAGTTTAAAGCTTTTCATATATTTGTTCAAATTTATTAATTTATTTACACAAACGACTTTTTAATTTTTTAAATAATTGTTTATGTCTTGTACATTTTATGATATTTTTAATATTATTTATATTTAATATTATTTATAAATATAATTATATAGCATTTTTTATGGGATATATTATTTATTATTATACAAATGCAATTATTATATAATTATTATACAAATATTATACAATTATTATAATTTAAATTGAATTTTTTAATAAGCATAAGTAGCAATTTATTAGTCTAAATATTATATGCTTTCTGATTTATATAAGTGATATGTTTGATGTTATTTTTTAAAATACGATATGGCAACACTGAGCATTGAAATTGTTAAAACTATAATTAATTTAGAATTTTGCAAACACAAAAAAAATCATATGCAATTTGATTAATAATAATTGTAAAGTACAGTATTTCTTATGCAAGCGAAAAGAATTCATCAAGGCCCGTAAAATTCCATTTTTCTGATAATACAAAAATTTTTTTAATAAGAAAATAATTTCTTAAAAAACAATTTGCAAATTTTTATTGTGCATAAATTATATTGTTGTTACAAATAGAAAACTTGTAATAACAAATCGAGAATAATATTTTAAACATTGAAAAAAAACAAGGCTTTAAATATATCTCATCAACGATTGGAAAATACAAAATGTTTTTAATGTGAATTATCCATCACATTATCCATAAATTTTTTCTATTACATGACATGATTAACAAACGAGCTTTCATTTATCTCACAATTATTCGCTTTATTGAGTGGATTAAATTATATTGAATCTTGTGTTGGCAAAATTCTTAAATTTAAATTTAGTTGCTCTTGAAGAGAAAATGTTCAATCGGCACTGAAAGATTATTTATTATTTTTATGAGAAGTTGTTTATAATTTTATATACATGCGAGTGCACACTACACACATATAGTCAAACAAAATCGGATTTGTCACTTTATGAAGTTTGTTCATAGTATTAGTATTTAATAATTCTAAACCTGTGATTCTCTATCTGTGTGTTTTCTGTTTGTCACATATGTATGTACCCAGAGATAAATATAGTTGTAAAATTTTCTCATGATACATGCTATCAGTGGTCGTATTCCACAAATAGTAATTTAAAAAATTGTTTAACACCAACAAGATTTTAATCAAAACATTTGAAAACTTTTTTCAACATAATTTTCGACAAGAAAATTATTTATATTAAAAATGCGAATTTTATTAAACTTTTAAAAGATTATCTTTATACAAGATGTCCCATTTTCCACCCTCATAACTTTTTTAATTTTGATTGTAGAAAAAAATGTTTCAGACAAAAATTATATGGCTTGAAGGGGGACATAAGGTGGTGTCATTAGTTTGACATTGAAGAGTCACCTGAAGGTCACGTCCAACTTTTTAAATGGGACACCCTATATACTTTTGCTATATACTTTGTTCTTATAGTTCATCTCGAGAGCTTTCCAAAACACTATAATTAAGTTAGTTTTCATTAAGTACTTTCCGAGTTATGAGGCTTGAAATCATTTCTTAATTTTACATAAACCATAATATATCTAGTAAAATATTCATTTTTCGATTATCTTGCCTTGATATTTTTATGTATAAAATAATGAGAGGAATCAATTGGTGTAAACACATAGTTATTTTTAAAAAATATGTAATTTGCAATTAATAATTACATATTTTTTCTTCTGTATATCTTTTCAAGAAGCTAATATTATCACTTCATGTTTCTTTTCAAATTATTGTCTAAAACTGTTATCTAAAATATTTTGTTTTAATAATGCTTTATTTTATGTTAAATTTTTTCATCTGAATCAATTAAATAAATTATTTAAATACATACACTGTACGTGTATGTGTGTACGCGGGAACATATGTGTGTGTGGGGACTTGCATCTCTTTAATTAGCACTTCTCTTATGCCGTGCGTGCGCGCTGGCCTTTTATATTTGACCACATAATAATACAAATTAGGATATTTATAGAGAGAGAAGATATATTCTTAATTTAAGATTGTCTTAAATAAGGTCGGAAAATGTGGATGTGTAATTTTAAAGTGACCTTACTTAAGAAGCCATATTTGAGATGATCTTAAATATATTAACAGACTATGGCAAGGCTTAAACATTGCCCAATTAAGAAATTATTACATCATCATAATTACAATATAAGCTGCGCACGATTGGACGACTTAGGTCCGGTTCCACAACTCGAGTTAATCCGAGTTTGATACGTTAAACTGGATTCTGATTGGTCCATTCACTGCTTAAACTCGGATTAACTGGATTGTGGAACTGGGCCTTAGAGTTGAATAGATCAATTGACAATTTAGAATTAGATAAATATATGTATGCATTTGATGAAAGCTACTCAATTTTTTTTAATTTAGTGAAAACATTAGGAAACGCATATAATTAAAAAAAACTTATTTTAGAAAATTGCGCCAAAAATCTTTATAAATATTCTCCTTTTTTGAAATTTTCAACAAAGATATTTGGAAGATCAAGGAATTTTTTTTACAAGATTTGAATAGAATATTCTCATTTGGTGCATTTTTCTAATATCACCATTTTTTACAGGAAAAACTGACTTAAGCAATGAAATATATTACATATTAAAATATATAAGAAGCAATTCTTTATATTTCTTTGTACTATTGTGTATTTTTTTAGACTGGCGTATAAAAATATCAATTAAAAATATAGAGATTAAAAAATGTACATGGGAATAATTCCTTGTACAATAGTTCATTAACGAGCGCATATATTTTATATATATATATATATATATATATTTCTTTCTTTTTTTTTTTTTCTAAAGCGATTATATACTATTATATTTTGATGCAACTTAAAAAACTCTTTCTTTTAAATGATTTCGCATGAAAAAATAAGCAGTGTTTACTAAGAGTATTAATTTAAAATGTAACTCTCTCTCTCTCTCTCTTTAATTTTTCCATACTTAATCAAATCGAATAATATTTACACGCGATGGTGTAAACTGAATAAAATATATAAGTAAAATATAATTTTTATAATAAAGTAATATAAGTAGTACATAATATAAGTGGTTGTTGATAGCTTAGAGTTGGCGCATTTTTAAAGCACGCTTGTTTGTGAAAAGGGATTTTTTTATATTCGGAATAAGAGAGAAATAAGGGATTTTATATTTATATATCACGTAATTTTATATATATATTTTGTATTTGTATTAATGTTTTTGAGTATTATCTCGCTTTTTGTTTCGTCACAGTTGCTCTAGTTTTCTCTGCACCTTTTTATTATTGACATGCCGCTCAAACATGAACTCATAACATACATATTACATGTGACTCTTGCTGTAGTAAAAAAAAAAAAAAAACATTCAAATTACGTGAGTTCCATAACTCTTAGATGTAATATCGCATGACAACTTTATTATCTCTTAGTATTTTATCTGTCTCTCTTTCTCTCTTAATAATTTTTATATGTATATACATATACAGGGTGTTTTAGACCACTCGTACCACCCATTTAAAAACTAGAGAAGTGGTTATTTCAAAAAAGTAAAAACATTTTCTTTATAAATCGGGTGCGCTCTATCGAATGGTGATATTTTCAACTTCTGGTTTCGGCCGGAAATAGGCGATTCAGACCGGAAATGCATTTTTTTAAATGGAACCCCCTATTTTTCATTGCATATTCTTGTAGCTTACCTCGAGAGCTTTCCAAAACACTAATTAAATTATTTTTCCATGAAGTATTTTTTGAGTTATGAGGCTTGAAATCATTTCTTAATTTTACACAAATCATAAAATATCTTGTAAAATATTTATTTTTCGATTATCTTATCTTAATACTTTTATGTACAAAATAATGAGAGGAATTAATTGGTGTAAAGAAAACACATAGTTGTTTCTAAGAAAAAATATGTAATTTGCAATTAACAATTCCATATTTTTTCTTAAAAACAACTGTGTGTTTTCTTTACACCAATTGATTCCTCTCATTATTTTGTACATAAAATTATTAAGGTAAGATAATCGAAAAATGAATATTTTACAAGATATTTTATGGTTTGTGTAAAATTAAGAAATGATTTCAAGCCTCATAACTCGAAAAGTACTTCATGGAAAAATCATTTATTATAGTGTTTTGGAAAGCTCTCCAAGCAAGCTACAAGAATATGTAATGAAAAATAGGGAGTGCCATTTAAAAAAATACACTTCCGGTCTGAATCGCCTATTTCCGGCCGGACGCAGAAGTTGAAAATATCGCCATTCGATAGAGCGCATCCGATTTATAAAGAAAATGTTTTTACTTTTTTGAAATAACCACTTCTCTAGTTTTTAAATGGGTGGTACGAGTGATCTGAAACACCCTGTATTTTGCTTTTCGCTGTCCTCTCAGTCTCTTAATTGAAAAACTTTCAGACTAATTTATTACAGTATTACTGGTGTGTTCGAGAGAAAAAAGAATATATTTGTAAATTATTAAGAAGTGATATTAATTGTCCTGTTTGGTAAATTATTAAGAAGTGATATTAATTGTCCTGTTTGGTAAAAAATAATTGATGTTCTTGCATGAATATAATTGGTCTCATTTTTGAGATTTATAGATATATATTTTCCGTACATATACATATATATATATATATATATATATATATATATATATATATATACATTCGCGTGATATTCGCCGGATAAAATCCAATGGGAGGCAATTTCTTTGAGTTATGGAACAGTAGCGTTGTTAAAAGTGACATGAAAAAGTTCTGTGAATACAACGCACGCATGAAGATTGGAAAACTTTGGTAAACGAGAGCATCGAAGATCAGAGTTAGGCGGTTATTTCCGCTAATTCGTTGCTGCTATCGCTGATGCTAGAGGTACGTTTTCAAGGCTTCGCCGCTATTCTGTTCATTTACGCTAGAATGATCATGCAACAGCCCCTTTGCTTCTGCCTGCTTCAACATATTCGGAATATAAATTCTTAATATTGAATAAAAAAAGGCTGAAACGAACTCTACCTGATACAATAATGCATGTATTACACACTTAAGTGCGGCATCATTTCAGATACAAAGTTGTTTTGTCTTCCTCTTCTTTTTTATGATTTTGTACTTTTATGAAATTTCTTTTACAAAAAGTTATATTAACTCAATGAATTTTTTGCGGGAAAGAATTATATTTTTAACATATAATTGTTTTAATAATTGTTTTAATTTTAATTTAAAAAATATTAATATAATATTTATTTAAAAATATTAATTAATATTTATATAATTCATAATTTAATATAAAAAATTGAGAAATATTGACGAATGTCAGATCTCATAATACTGCTCTTCGTTTGCCTTTTCGTATTTTTGCTGTTTCGTCTGAATGGAATGATATACAGAGTGTCCTAAAAGTCCCGGACCGGTCGAATATTTCATAAACTATGCACTTTAGAAAGAAATGTTTCAGACAAAAGTTGTATGGCTTGAAGGGGATCACATAGTTGTTTTTAAAAAAAAATATGTAATTGCAAATTACATATTTTTTTCTTAAAAACAATTATGTTTTTTCTTTACACCAATTGATTCCTCTCATTATTTTGTACATAAAACTATTAAGGTAAGATAATCGAAAAATGAATATTTCACAAGATATTTTATGTAAAATTAAGAAATGATTTCAAGCCTCATAACTCGGAAAGCACTTAATGAAAACTAACTTAATTGTAGCATTTTGAAAAGTTCTCGACGTGAGCTATCAGAATATTTAATAAAAAATAGGTAGTTCCATTTAAAAAATTGACGATGATCTTCACGTGACTTTCAAATGACTCTCCCATGTCAAATCATTGCCACTATCTGATGGTCCCCTTCAAGCCATACAACTTTTGTCTGAAACATTTCTTTCTAAAGTGCATAGTTTATAAAATATTCGACCGGATTCCGGAACTTTTGAGACATTCTGTATATACTATCTCTTATTTCTGATTTGGCGAAATTTAATTCGCATATTGTCGCTTTGATAAGACTTGCCAGGGAAGCTTTATATGAAAAAAAAATAAATAAATAAATAAATAAAGCTATAAGTATATTCTAGTGAAAAGCCCAGCGAACAGGGTAATAATTATTTGTTCAATTTCAGGATGAGATGGAGAAGATGCGTCATTCCACGCAGCGAGAGAGATCTCAGCTATCTTGTCAATTGGCACAGACGGAGGAGGAGGTGCGTCATCTGAAGGATAAGGTGTTTGTGCTGGAGCAGAGGATCGCTCTGGAGACGAACGACCAAGTGACGGTTGACGAGAGAATAGCCGATCTAATGCGCGAGAGGACATTGTTGGAAAGGAAGTTGGAGGAGGCGCATCTTCATCTCTCCGACATAAAGACCAGTTGGTCGGGCAAGATTTCTAGTCTGGAGACGCAGGTTGGCAGACTTAGCAGGAAAGTGGGCGAGGAGGGCCTGGAACGCAGACAAGTCGAGCAGGAGAAGGAGAAGCTTAAGCAGAGAATCAAACAGCTAGAGGCCGAGATAGAGGTGAACAATATTGTTATAGCGACAAAAGACGCTAAGCTTTTGCGCATGACAGAGGACATTGACGAGATGGCTACGGAACTGAAAGAGCTCCGGGCCAACGTCGATGACGAGGTGGAAGAATTTAAACGCCAAATTGTGAGTTACCGCGACATGTAGTGACAAAGTGCATGGACTTAGATTGTCTCTCTTGCCGAAAATATTGTCCAAATTCTGATGTAAAATCATTTCTGGTAGGTTTCGTTACAAATGATCACTCGACTGAATTATTTGTAACATATAAAATTCGTTGCTCAGATTAAGCTTCTTTTTACTAGTATTATTGCGATCTTAGAATGCAATCATTTTAATGTAATATATTACTTTGTTCTTCTCGAAGATAAAGACTATATTGCATTTTTTTTTAGAGATTTTTTGTCCGATATCTGTCTTGATATATTATAAGAGTACATAGTTATTATCTACAGGGTGTCCCATTTTAACTTGGACAGTAAAATATCTCAAAAACTAAGCAAACAAAAATGTTTCAGACAAAAGTTGTAGTTTCGAGGGGGACATAAGATGGTACCATTGGTTTGACTTGAAGAGCTATTTGAAGGTCACATGAAGGTCATCTTCAATTTCTTAAATGGAACCTACATTCATATAACCTTCAAACAACTCTTCAAGGTCAAACCAATGGTATCATCTTATATCCCCTTCAAAACTATACAACTTTTGTCTGAAACATTTTTGTTTGCTGGGCTTAGTTTTTGAGATATTTTACTGTCCAAGTTAAAATGGTACACCCTGTATATTTTTTAAACACGTTTGTTGACGATAAATTTTGGAAGCTTTGATGATTTTCGATTTTTGTTAAATTTTTTGGTACATTTAACTTTCGCACTTTTATTTTGGAATGTACGACCGATTGTCACGATTATTAAATTTTACAAGACTGATAAATTCTATTTTCCAAATAGGAGATATACATTTGCATAACTTCTGCAACATATCAATAATTTAAATATGATATATTTAAAATTTTCTTAATGTTCCCTATCTTTTCAAAATCTTATACAGATCTTATATAGTGAAGATTATTAGGTGATTAGTAATAATTGTTCTTGAATATTTTATATGTTTGTAATGTTTGTGTGCAATTATATATGAAATTATATCAAAAATATCTCGTATTTCGATATAAAAACTATATACAATTTTAACAAATACATATAATTTTTATAATACAAAATATATATAGAGTGGTCTCGAAATTCACGAATCAAAATATAGCAGAAAACTTGTCGAAAAATGAAGTAATAAAAGTATTTACAATTTTTCAAGTTTTGCGATATAAAAATTTAAGCGAGTTTATAGTACTTTGATTCGTTAATTTGTTAATCTGTATATATGCGCGCGTACGCGCATGTTAATCGATAATATTGTTCATGTTATTGTTGCATGTTGTTCAGAAGCTTGATGCTTCTTGCTTGATGCACATTTTATTTTTTTTACCTCAGTTACGTGCACGTGCCCTTATCAAAAATTCTTTATTACTTTTAACGATATAGTTGTTATTATTCAAAGCATGTTAAGTGAGTTATTCGAGCGTTTTGAGAAGATCTATATCAAAGAAATATATACATAATTACGCAACAGATTCACTTGTATTGAAAATAGTATACCCTCCTTTGTACATTAATGTTAGTATGCTAAAATAATACACACACATTTTTATGTATGACTGCACTTTCTGTATATTTTATTTGTGAAATAAAGAAGGAAAAACAAGTATACACAATCTTTTGCTTTTTACCTATTTTTCATTTTTTTTTTCAACCAATTTTTATTCCCGAATGATTTGTTGATACCTCGTTACAATTGCACTATGGAATTCAGAAAATTGATTTCAGAATTATTCCTACGTATGCTATTGAAATAAAATTTTAAAATAAACTTTTAAGACAAAATTATTCATAAATATAGATAAATATAGATTTAGCTTTTTTTCTGCCATTATTATTATTTACATAGCTTTATATTTTTATGCTAGAAATATTGAAAAAATTACATTTTATTTATAAGTTAGCAGAGAGAGAAGAGAATTACTTTTAAATTAAAAATATCTACGTATTATATATACAGAGTGTCCCAAAACCCGGACTGGTTGAATATTTCATAAACTATGTACTTTAGAAAGAAATGTTTCAAACAAAAGTTGTATGGCTTGAAGGGGACCATCAGATAGTGGCAATGATTTGACATGGGAGAGTCATTTGAAAGTCACGTGAAGATCACCGTCAATTTCTTAAATGGAACTCCCTATTTTTTATTAAATATTCTGGTAGCTCACGTCGAGAGCTTTCCAAAACACTATAATTAAGTTAGTTTTCATTAAGTATTTTCCGAATTATGAGGCTTGAAATCATTTCTTAATTTTGCATAAACCATAAAGTATCTAGTAAAATATTCATTTTTCGATTATCTTACCTTAATACTTTTATGTACAAAATATGAGAGAAATAAATGAGAGAATAAATGAGAGAAATCAATTGGTCTAAAGAAAAAACATAGTTGTTTTTAAGAAAAAAATATGTAATTTGCAATTAACAATTACATTTTTTTTTTAAACAACTATGTGTTTTCTTTACATCAATTGATTCCTCTCATTATTTTGTAATAAAATTATTAAGGTAAGATAAAATAAAATAAAATTATTAAGGTAAGATAATCGAAAAATGAATATTTTACTAGATATTTTATGGTTTATGCAAAATTAAGAAATGATTTCAAGCCTCATAACTCGAAAAGTACTCAATGAAGAAATACTTTATTATAGTGTTTTGGAAAGCTCTCGAGATAAGCTACACGAATATGTAATGAAAAATAGGGGGTTCCATTTAAGAAATTGACGGTGATCTTCACGTGACTTTCAAATGACTCTCCCGTGTCAAATCATTGCCACTGTCTGAAGGCCCCCTTCAAGCCATACAACTTTTGTCTGAAATATTTCGTTCTAAAGTGCATAGTTTATGAAATATTCGACCGGTCCTGGACTTTTGGGACACTCTGTGTATACAGGGTCTACCAAAAGTGTGGAAACCCCTAAATATCTCGGAAAATATACGTTTTACAGAAAAGTGTTTCCAACAAAAGTTGTAGGGTTTAAGAAGATCTATATACTGATTCTATCAGTTTGACCTTGGATGGCGTCGTCAAGGTCAGGTCAAGGTCACATTGACTTTTTTAAATGACACCCCCTACATTTGATTGCATATTCTTATAGCTTAATTCAAGAGCTTTCCAAAACACTATAATAATGTTCATTTTTATTAAGTACTTTGCGAGTTATGAGGGTTGAAATAATTTCTTAATTTTACATAAACCATAAAATATCTAGTAAACCATTCATTTTTCGATTATCTTACCTTCATACTTTTATGTACAAATTAATGAGAGGAATCAATTGGTGTAAAGAAAACACATAGTTGTTTCTAAGAAAAAATATGTAATTTGCAATTAACAATTCCATATTTTTTCTTAAAAACAACTGTATGTTTTCTTTACACCAATTGATTCCTTTCATTATTTTGTACATAAAAGTATGAAGGTAAGATAATCGAAAAATGAATGGTTTACTAGATATTTTATGGTTTATGTAAAATTAAGAAATTATTTCAACCCTCATAACTCGCAAAGTACTTAATAAAAATGAACATTATTATAGTGTTTTGGAAAGCTCTTGAATTAAGCTATAAGAATATGCAATCAAATGTAGGGGGTGTCATTTAAAAAAGTCAATGTGACCTTGACCTGACCTTGACGACGCCATCCAAGGTCAAACTGATAGAATCAGTATATAGATCTTCTTAAACCCTACAACTTTTGTTGGAAACACTTTTCTGTAAAACGTATATTTTCCGAGATATTTAGGGGTTTCCACACTTTTGGTAGACCCTGTATATATATATATATATATTATTCATAGATATTTTTAATTTAAAAGTAATTCTCTTCTCTATATAATTATAAGATATTAGAGAGAGAATTAAATAAATATATTTTATATATTTATTTAATTGTGCTGTTAACAATATGATATTTTATAAATGAGTTTATTATTTAAAGTGCAAAAATTTTTTTATAACAATATAAGGAAAATCTTTATTTTACTTATATTTACTTTGTTCTCTGTGATGATTTTTAACTTTTAAGAATAATATTATTTAAGAATAATATTATTACTTTGCAATTTTTTTATCCTTAATGACTTTTTTCTTATTGTATTTTCTTAATTGTATAAAATTGCCTAAAAAAACCAGTCATTAAATAATTATTAAAATAAAGATTTTTTTTTAAGATTGAAACTCTACTCTTTTAACTATTTAATTAAAAAAAACTTCGTATAAGCTTTAATTTTTTGAAGTAAAATTTAGATAAATATACAATTGTGTTAAGTATTTTCTCATATCGTGAGAACATTTACTCGTTTTATCACTAAAGAATATTACAAATAAACAAATACATATTTATACATATAAAAATATTCATTTTAAAAAAGAGTAACATCACCATGTCGTCAATTAGGTATGAATGCAAATTGTTAGAAAAATTATATGTTCAAATGCCAATTTATATGAATTTATATTTGTGTTTTTTAGGAATCTTCCTCGAAACAGATCACTCAATTGAAGTCAGACCTCGAGAATACGACGAGCAAGCTTAGTGCTGTTACTAACGAATTAGCAAATCTTCGATTGTCTTTGGAAAAGGAGCAATCGAGTAATTCTTCTTTACGTCTAGAACTGGCGTGTCTGCAAGAAATTCTCGAATCCGAACGATCAACTGCAGCGGAACTGCAAATTTCCTTCGAGAGGGAAAAGGATGAGAAGGATGCTGCTTTGCTGAGGAACGCCCAGGTATCTCAGGATATAGAAATTGTGAAGCAGGAGAATCGGCAGCAGGAGATCGAGAACATGGAGCTGCAGAATAGAGTAGAGAATTTGGAGGATCATCTAGTCGGTAAAGCGAAGGAAGTAGAGCAAGCAGCGGTTACATTGAAACAATTCGAGCAGAAAGTTGCAAAATTGGAAGAAGCAGAACGTAACAGAGAGAAGATGGAGAGAAACGAAAGAATACTCAAAAGCAATTTGTTAGATCTGGAAGAACAATTAAGCGAGAAAAATAAGGTAGAGGAAGATTTCAATTTGACTTGAGCAGAATATGTGCGACACAATTATTAAGCGATTATATTCAAAATAACTTGATTGTTGCATGATTAATATTTGTTCCATTTATTTATATATGTGCGCATAATTTGCTTATACAGGGTGTCCCAGACTTAAGTATTTTTGTAACGTTGAAACTACATCTTCCTCAACATTTTGGTATTAGAATTTTCGTTTCCAAATGATCTCAGGAATTTGCTGTTAACAGCTGATTAAATTTGGGACACTCTATATACTGGGTGTTCCAGACTACCTGTATCACCCATTTAAAAATGAGAGAAGTGGTTATTTCAAAAAAGTAAAAACATTTTCTTTATAAATCGGGTGCGTTCTATCGAATGGTGATATTTTCAACTTCTGGTTCCGGCCGGAATAGAGCGATTCAGACCGGAAGTGCATTTTTTTTAATGGAACCCCCTATTTTTCATTGCATATTCTTGTAGCTTATCTCGAGAGCTTTCCAAAACACTATAATAAATTATTTTTTCATGAAGTATTTTTCGAGTTATGAGGCTTGAAATCATTTCTTAATTTTACATAAACTATAAAATATATTGTGAAATATTCATTTTTCGATTATCTTACTTTAATACTTTTATGTACAAAATAATGAGAGGAATCAATTGGTGTAAAGAAAACATACAGTTGTTTTTAAGAAAAAGTATGGAATTGTTAATTGCAAATTACATATTTTTTCTTAGAAACAACTATGTGTTTTCTTTACACCAATTGATTCTTCTCATTATTTTGTACATAAAAGTATTAAGGTAAGATAATCGAAAAATGAATATTTTACAAGATATTTTATGGTTGATGTAAAATTAAGAAATAATTCAAGCCTCATAACTCGAAAAGTATTTCATGGAAAAATAATTTATTATAGTGTTTTGGAAAGCTCCCGAGGTAAGCTACAAGAATATGCAATGAAAAATAGGGAGTTCCATTTAAAAAAAATGCGCACTCGATTTATAAAGAAATTGTTTTTACTTTTTCAAAATAACCACTTCTCTAGTTTTTAAATGAATGGTACGGGTGGTCTGAAACACCCTGTACACATGCATTAGCACACACACACACACACAAATCACTCTATCAACTATCTAAATAAATCATACAATTTAATTATATTAATTTTTTTCCTCATTTTTAGACAATCAAAGTTTTGCAGCAACGGTTAGCCGATATGAAAAAAACACTTCAACGCGAGTTGAAAATTCCGTCCTCGTCGTTGGATAGTGATGCTGAAGCTTCTGCCGCCATTCTCAACCCGAGTTCATCTAAAACCGTCACTGCCAAGCATAATAATTCGAGAGAAGATGACGTTAATTTTAAATATCTCAAGCATGTTCTCATCAAATTCCTCACTAGTAGAGAATACGAGGTGCACATTTATTTTGATTTAAATTTACATTCCATTTCGATAATAAATAAACAATGTAATATTAACTTTTTAAGGCTCTCCATTTAACGAGGGCAGTGGCGACATTATTGCACTTTTCGCCAGAAGAGGAACGTCTACTTCAAGAGACTTTAGAATGGAAAATGTCATGGTTCGGTACTAGGCCTAACTTAGGATTCGGACAAACTGCCAAAGCGATACCACCTAGCTGATAATTACAAGATGTTTCGTACCTGACGAAACGTACTAGAGCAAAAGTAAATTCTTGTTCGAAATGATCAATATGCAAATCACTTGAATTGGAAGTGATTTACATGTTAAAGCGACCGCGACTAATTTAAAGGATATAAAAAAAATTAGAAGAATAATATAAAGTCATAATGCGATTTTACAAAGTTTAATAAGCACGTTTAATATTAGTGCAAGTATAATAAACAAACTACAATAAATGGCTATGTGTACGGAACTAAATTGTGGTAAAAGGTGGCTTTATGAAGATTTGATAAGATTTTATGAATACATCATTAATTATTGATTTCTGTCATACACCTGTCATCATGTGTAATACTGAAGTGCAATTTTGATTGTTGAAACTGAACTATCATGTGTGATGGATTGTGATACTTTGCGCATGTATAAATCGTGATGCAAATGCAGTTCTGATATAAATTGATTTGTAACATATATATTTTGTTCAAGTGAAATTTGTTTTGTGATAATGGTTACAATGGCATTGTACAAAACATTTCTCATTTTTATATGGCTTTTGCACACTTTGCACATCAGCGAAAAATAGTGAAACATATCTCAAATTAAGACTTCAAAACAGAATTAGAATTTAGTTGCAACAGAATTTGTTGAGCATAATTTCATAGTTGATTCTCTCTTTCTCTCTTCCTCTTTCGTTTCTCTTATATTAGCAACAAGTTTTTAATAACGATAATACAATAATACAAAATTTTTTATCTTTTATTTGAAAAGTCTGATTTTTGACATTCCAGTTGTATCTTAATTACAATAATTATGCGCGTGTTTCTTTAAATAATCGATTATATTTTATCATTATCGATTATTTAATTAACTATTATTTTAATATATATTGTAAAAATAAATAGGTGATTTGATCATTCGAAATGAATGCAATGACAAGTTAAAAACTTTAATTATATAAAAGTAAAATTTTTACATGAATTATATATTTATATATGTATATATATATATATATATATATATATAATTATATTATATATAAAATTTATATTATATATAAAATATATATATATAATTTTATAAAATTATTATATATATAATATAAATTTTATAAAATTATATATAAAATTATATATAAATTATATATAAATTATATACAGAGTGTCCCAAAAGTCCCGGTCGAATATTTTATAAACTATGTACTTTAGAAAGAAATGTTTCAGAAAAAAGTTGTATGGCTTCAAAGGGGCTATAAGATGGTGTCATTACTTTGACCCTGAAAAGTCGTTTGATCATGTAAAGGTTATTTTCAATTTTTTAAATGGAACTATTTATTTTTTATTGAATATTCTGGTAGCTTACGTCGAGAGGTTTCCAAAACACTATAATTAAGTTAGTTTACATTAAGTACTTTCCGAGTTATGAGACTTGAAATCATTTCTTAATTTTACATATACTGTAAAATATCTTGTAAAATATTCATTTTTCGATTATCTTATCTTAATATTTTTTATGTACAAAATATTGAGAGGAATCAATTGGTGTAAAAAAAAACACATAGTTATTTTTAAGAAAAAAGATGTAATTGTTAATTGCGAATTACATTTTTTTTTTCAAAACATTTATTTGTTTTCTTTATATCAAATGATTACTCTCCTTATTTTGTACATAAAAGTATTAAGATAAAATAATCGAAAAATGATTATTTTATAAGATATTTTATGGTATATGTAAAATTATAAATTATTTCAAGCCTCGTAACTCGGAAGATATTTAATGAAAACTTAATTAGAGTGTTTTGGAAAGCTCTCGACGTAAGCTACCAGAATGTTCAATAAAAAAATAAATAGTTCCATTTAAAATATTGAAAATGATGTTTACATGATCTTCAAACGACTTTTCAAGGTCAAAGTAATGACACCATCTTATGGCCCCTTTCAAGCCATACAACTTTTTTCTGAAACATTTCTTTCTAAAGTGCATAGTTTATAAAATATTCGACCGGTCTGGAACTTTTGGGACACTCTGTATATAAAATTTATGTGCTGTAATAATCTAAGAATTCTTGTAAATCATACTTTTTATATATTTAAATTATATTATATTAATTTATATTAAATTTAATTTCTTATATTATTATATATGATATAAGGAATATAATTTTAATTATTTTTTAGTAAAACCAGATATTAACATGGAAGAGATATTGATATAAATTGAGTTTAAAGTTGCAACTAATAACATTTTTTGAAGCAAATTTTCCCCAAGAACAATCGAACCCAATTTCCCATGTACGAATATTTGATTAAAAATAGATTTTGAATTCTAATTAACATAAATATGAAATAAATCCTGTTTGATTTAAAAATTTTAAATTTATTTTGATTCTAAATATGAATTTCTTGCAATCCCTAATTCGAAGTTTGAATCCTAATTTTGAGTTTTTTTAAAAAAATCTCAGATTTTCTCATATTTTTTATTTTTGATCGCACTTTGATCAACTTATTTCATTTAAAAGTGTCATAAATCTCGAGGAATGAAAAATTTCAGATATATTTTTCAGAAGGTGTAATTGAGCCCCAGACCTATAAATTTGCGAATTTGCTATCAATTTCGTTCTGTTTACGTCCAATCGTCCCGTGCGATCTAAAATTTATTCCCTTAAAGTAGAGTCATTTTCGATCGACCAATCAGGATAAAGGAAAAAAAAAATTCTTTCTCCTTTGATTGGTCAATCGAACGATTGTCCTGGGAGTAAGTTTTTGAACGTAACCCAGGCTATTTCAGAGTTTCAGGATTACCAAGTTGGTGAAACTGACGCTGATAAACAGACGCATGTGGAGGCAAAGAAACAAAAACACAGGACGAACTTACGGAAAATGCATACCAAACGAATCTTTCTTTTCCTTACATAATTAATTTACCAACTGCTATGAAATATAATAACAATTATGAGAGCTATTTTTATTTCCTTGCATGGTCCTGTGCCATTTCTTATTCTGCATACGAGTTTTATTTATCGAATAACTGTAAGACATAAAAAGTCTAATTAATGCAATTTTATAATCCTATTTTATTATATTTTTCATTATATTTTTATTATATTTTTATTATATTTTTATTATATTTTATTATATATAATGTATTATATTTTTAATTATATTTTTATTATATTTTTATTATATTTTATTATATTTTTATTACATTTATTATATTTTTGTCATATTTTATTATATTTTTAATTATATTTTAATAATATTAAATTTTCATGCAACTTGTACTTTCAGATTTTGATGATTATTATGATGCGTACAATGATTTCGACAGAGGATGGAGTTGGATTGGAAGAAAACGAGATATCTCTGATCAAGAGTGGGGTGTATGGCTTGCCTTGATAAACAGACTAATACCATGCATTTTCATCCATCATTTCTTCAGTCAGATTATTAAAGTCAATTGTAACATCATGGTAATACACTTATATTTCCAAGGTAACTTGTTGAAATAATTATGCCTGATTTAGGGAAATGACGGAGAAATTTTGGAAATTTTGCAGATTTTGTGTTCTTGGTATATCTTGTCGTCTACAGCTTTTCTGTATTATTATATGGGTTCGTTAAGTGCACTGTGTATACTATTGCAACCTAGTTTCTTACACATAATAACATATAAATGCAGTAAGCACGCAGCATGGTTGATACATGTTTCCTTCCTGTTTGTGATACATATATTAAAAATACCAAATGGTACTTTTCAAAGTTTGCTAGGCCTCGACGATGAGCAGCATTATATTTTGACGCTTACAATGTGTTGGATACACTTAAGAAGCATCAGTCACAATATGGATAGCATTGACAAGAAAGTTCTCCACTCAAACAGCTTTATCGAGAGGCTAGCATATTGTTTATACTTGCCCACATTATTTTCAGGGCCACTTATTTTGTATCAAGAGTTTGTTGAATCTGTATGTATGATTTTTACAATCGTATTAAACTTTAAAATAATGAATATCATAGAAAATAATGTTGATAACAAGTTTATAAAATAATAAATTTTTAGATTAATCAACAGCATCGATATTGGAATTGCCAAAAATTACAAGCTTTTGTGCTAAATTTAATTAGATATATATTCTGGTTATATTTCACTGAATTTTTGCTACACTTTATTTACGTAAATGCTATACAATACCATCCTCAGGTAATAATTTATTCACGCATAAATATGTATATACATGTATATACATATAAATATGTATATACATGTATATACATGTATATACATGTATATACAGGGTGTCCCAAAAGTCCCGGTCCGGTCGAATATTTCATAAATTATGCACTTTAAAAAGAAATGTTTCAGACAAAAGTTGTATGGCTTGAAGGAGACCATCAGATAGTGGCAATAATTTGACATGGGAGAGTCATTTGAAAGTCGTGAAAGATCATTCGATTGATGTGAAGATCATCGTCAATTTCTTAAACGGAACTCCCTATTTTTTATTACATATTCTTGTAACTTATCTTGAGAGCTTTCCAAAACACTATAATAAATTATTTTTCCATGAAATACTTTTCGAGTTATGAGGCTTGAAATCATTTCTTAATTTTGCATAAACCATAAAATATCTAGTAAAATATTCATTTTTCGATTATCTTACCTTAATAATTTTATGTACAAAATAATGAGAGGAATCAATTGGCGTAAAGAAAACACATAGTTGTTTTTAAAAAAATATGTAATTGTTAATTGCAAATTACATATTTTTTCTTAAAAACAACTGTTTTTTCTTTACACCAATTGATTCCTCTCATTATTTTGTACATAAAATTATTAAGGTAAGATAATCGAAAAATGAGTATTTTACAAGATATTTTACGATTTATGTAAAATTAAGAAATGGTTTCAAGCCTCATAACTGGAAAAGTACTCAATGAAGAAATATTTAATTAGTGTTTGGAAAGTTTTCGAAATAAGCTACACGAATATATAATAAAAAATAGGAATTCCATTTCCATTTTTTAAAGAAATTGACAGTAATCTTCATGTAACTTTCAAATGACTCTCCCATGTCAAATCATTGCCACCTGATTGCCATCTGATGGTCCCCTTCAAGCCATACAACTTTTGTCTGAAAAATTTCTTTTTAAAGTGCATGAAATATTCGACCGGTCCGGGACTTTTGAGACACCCTGTATATATTATATTTGCGCAAGTGTATGTTTTATTTGTTTCTCTTACAGGTTGCGCAAAATTTAAATCCTTGGGCATTGTATGGATTGGGATATTGCATGGGGCAGTTCTTTCTGAACAAATATGTTGTAATCTATGGGATTTCCAAAACTTTATGTAATTTAGATGATGTAAAAGCACCACTGCCACCTAAATGTATAGCTAGGATTCATTTATATTCCGACATGTGGAAATATTTTGATAGAGGACTATACAAATTTCTTATAAAGTAAATATGTAATTAAGATCTTATGTCTCAACTTATTTGTCAGACGTACTTTATTTTATTAATTATTTATACTTATTAATATTAACATATATAATCGATAAGATTCTATCTTATATGTCTATTTTATAAAAGAGTTTAATTATTATAATAAATTGATCTTTATTTCTTTCAGATATATTTATATCCCTTTACAAAAGTCAAATGGGTGCTTTGGAAAATTGTTTGCATCATTTTTATGTTTTGCTTTTGTTCTTATATGGCATGGAATACAAATAAGTATTTTTATCTGGTCATTATTAAATTTTATTGGAATAACGATCGAAAGTATAGGGATATCAATTGGCAAAAGCAAACAATATCATAAAATACAGAATATGTATTTATCCTCAAAAAATATTAAGAGATTTCATTGTATATTAGCAAGCCCTCTTTTAGCAATATCAGCAATATCTAACTTTTATTTTTTTGGAGGCCAATCAATTGGTAATATTTTTACATATAATCTACTGCATGGTAAGTTTTTCATATATTTTTAATTTTAACACTTTACATTCTATATATTTTATCATGTTTAATATGTAGAAAAAAAGATTTATCATAACATTTTCTATAGATATGATAATATTTATTTGTTCAAATATAAATATTTTATCTTATTAGCAGTTTAATAATTTAATGAATAATTTAATGTTAATAAAAGCATTAAGAAATAATAATATTAAATTTCTGCTTACAGGATCCTGGAAAACTTTATCTATTCTGTTCTTCTTTCTTTATTGCTGTTGTCAAGTTTCTGTAGATGTTAAAAATTTGGGAATTTAAAGATCGAAATTTGACTTGATTAAATTAGAGTTAAAATGCTTTATTTACCAAAATATTAGGTCGTCCAGGACTTTGGAGCCATATATCTTGTATAATTTTATTAAAATCAAGACACAGTCGCAATTCTGAATATTAAGCACAGATTTTTCGGAATTATTTATTTATTTATTTCTCGTATTTGTTCGTTTAGCTTATCATCCAAGTTCAATGAATAGACGAAGCTAGGACCACATATGTCAGTATCATACCAAAAATCTATATAAAAGTATATAAATATTAAAAGTAAATATATAAAAACATTGGATAATATTACATTATTCGAAAATTAATATTCAAATTATATTTCAAGAAAGCAATATTGTAGAAATTAATTTTCGATTTAACCACATTATTTAAGTAAACGAATAATTTGAATAAATTGATTACAAAATTTGATTTAACAAACTTAATCTTTTCATTTAATAATTTCCACAATTTTATGTGAAGATTTAAATAATGTTTTGGATGTTGTACTCTTAGAAATACATTTTAATTACATATAAACAGAACAATGTAACAATAATAAACAAATGAAAATAATTTGTTGTAAAAACAAAAAACTGCATTCAATAAAATAAGATCATTATTTTTGTTGAATCAATTTCCTATGCTCGATAGATTCAATTTTTTAATCTTGATAAAATTTAAAAAAATTAAAAATCATCTTTCTAGTTCTGGTTGAGCCTTTAAATAGTCGAAATTTGATTTCTCAATTTTTTGTAAAATATGAATTGCCAACATAATTATAATAGTCTTAATATATTTATATAGTTTAGCAATTATAGATAGATTATAGATTATAAAATTATATATTATATAATATATATAAAATATATAAAATTATATATATAAAATTATATATTATAGATTTAGTAACTATAGATAGATTATAGGTTATAGATTATAAAATTATATATTATATAATATATATAAAATATATAAAATTATATATATAAAATTATATATTATAGATTATAAAAATATCAATTACCGAGAATGCAAAACTGTTATCTAAATTAAATAAACCACAGACTCTAATGCGTAACGGATAGATTCGAATACGTATTCCCAAATCAATTCTTTCCTAAAAACAAAAAAACATTGCGAAAATGTACACATATTTATAATATTTTATATTAAGAGAAAATTATTATACTCTCTTAATTATTAATTGAATAAAAGTAGCTAAAAATTTATCTTTAATACACAGTAAAGGCGATTTAAGAAAAAGATGCATTAAAATAATGAGTAATTACTCACACTTGAAAATTCGGTTTGTTTGAATGCAGGAGTTTTCGTTAAAAATATCGTATCGGCCAATGCGTTTGCCTAAAATATTTTATTAAAATTGGCATTAAAACAATCATTTCGCACGTCAGAGAGAACATCAAATATACGTACCTGATCGCATGTTACTTGACAAATGCGACAAATAGAGATAAGTTGAAGTATAAAATATAACAATATAGTACATTGGATGCAAAGCATGATGATTCTTATTTCATATAAAATAAGGAAAATATACGTTATGATGTCCATTCCCATGCACACGATCCAAAAAAATAACTGCAGACTATAATAAGAATTCAAATGATGTGTTGCATTCATCAAACAGCTGTGCAGTTGTTGAAGATTCGAAATTGTAAGACGTTTAATATGAATTGCAGATGCGATATCGATTCCTATGTGAAAAAAGTTTATTATTAAAATTATATTACAAGAATAATACGATGAAATTGTTTAACCCTTTGCGGAGCGAAATTGGGATAAGTTCCACCTTTTCTTTCTTGTTCTTTTTTTTAAATATTTCCGTCACATTTAGCTAAAAACTTATACATATTGAGATAACTTATACTTGTCAAAAGTTACTAAATTTTACTTTTTCAAAATATATTTTAATTAATTAAAGTAAAATTTGTAAATAAAATTAAACAACTAAAAATTTAAAGAAATACTAAGCATATCTTAATATATAATATATAATGAAAATTAAAATTTAATGTTTGAAAACAAATTTGATTATTGATATACTGAAAACTGATGTTGATATAAAAGTAAATAAGCATGTATTTCTTATTTGTAAAAAAGCAATTTAGATATTAAGTGTTAGTAATTAAATGTTTAAGTTTTTTTTAGAGGTGAAGCGGAAATACTTGCCCCATTTATTTAAAGAGCAAATATAAATACAATATGTAAATAAGATATAACGAAAATAAGTATGAAATTGCATATTTCAGGAACGGAAATAAAGCCTCAAAATATAATAGAATATTATTTAGGAATATACCTTCTACAATATATGTCGAAATAAAAATCGATAACTGAAAATAAATATTTACTACAATTTATCCTGCTTAGTCGGCCATTTTGAATTTATAATATTCAACTTCAGATTTCCAGCAATCCAAAAAATTAGGCTTAATTTGAACGAAAATAATTTTTGTAAACAGATTTTATTAAACAGATTACTGCATTAATCCATTCAAAAGAAAATTCAAAATTTGAATTTAAATAGTAACCAAAAAAACTGAAGTTTAACTTGAGCAAAAATAAAAAAGTTCATAAATAATTTGTTATATTAATTATTTTTCGAAATTTTTGAAGATTAATTTCAAATTCGTAATTAGCGACTCAAAAAACATACAAATACAAATTTTAATAAGAATTCTTTTAACAAATAGAAACGGCCCCACAAAAAGTTAAAGAATCCATTCTATCTAGATATCATACTAGCTTTTTAAACATGCATTAATTTTACATGAATAATTACATAGGCCTGCGAGATTTTTTTTTTAAAGATGCAATAGTGATTTCCGACATAATTTTGTGAGCTAAATTCGAATCTGGTCGCCGAATTTGCGTAGCACGTCATGTTTTTGAGTAATTTGTTATTGAATGGCTCAAAAATCGCTTTTTTGGCCAATTTCATGAATTTATTGCGAGGAAATCAAATTTTTTGAAATATTTCTGCCAATGGTATCATATAATACTCACTTTCGCTTTTCAAATCCATCTTCGATTACCGTTGCACGATTTTTTTTCGCTGAGATATATAAGTGTGACGTTGTAAGAAAATTTACGTTGAAGAAAATTTATATAGACATCAATATGGTAGATCCATGATCTTGAAATTTGAAAAGACTGACACATGTCAGGTTCGGTTGGTCAAAAAAATATTGTAAAGAAATGTCTAATACAGTTGTTACACATTTTGATAAATTTGTTTAAATTTTATGCCTTTTTATTGTGATTCTATTCGTCATAGTGGATGCGCCATTTTTTATTTCAAAAGGTGACAGAAGGTATTTAAAAATGTATATTTTTACCCTAATTTTAATTCGTAGTGAGATAGAGAGGTGGTACGGTTGATTTAGAATGGCTTATTAAATGACCAGTCTTATAACTTGTATATCTGAGCGAAAAAAAATCGTGCGGCGGTAATCGAAAGTGGATTCGAAAGATGAAAGTGAGTACTATACGATGCCATTGACAGAAATATTTCAAAAAATTTGGTTTACTCACAATAAATTCATGAAATTGGCCAAAATATCGATTTTCGGCTATTCAATTACAAATAACTCAAAAACCTGACGTGCTACGCAAATTCGGCGGCCAGATTCGGATTCAGCGCACAAAATTACGTCAAAAATTACTATTGCGTCTTAAAAAGAAACTTTCATTCCCTTTTTTGCAGACCTGTATAATTATTATAAAATCAATATTTGATCATTGTAAGCAATATTTTAAGATTAACTTATTAATTTAATATTAATTTAATTTATTTCTTTATTTAATAATTTATTTATTTATTTAATAATCTATTTAATTAATTTATTTATTTAATAACTTATTTAATAATTCATTTATTTATTTATGTATTTATTTATTTAATTTATTTAATATTAATTCAGTAATCTAATTCGTTGATCGATTCATGACTCGATACCATTCAGTTTACGACACAATCCATTGATGCGGCAAAATCTGCGACGCAATGCATCGTACAGGAAATAAAATTTCGCAACCTCCATCGAGAATGTAATTCGCATTACGAGTTGTAACGCAAACGCGTACAAAGATAGTGGAGTCCTAGCAAATACTACTAATATGTAAATGTATATCCAAGAGACGAAAATCAATGATATAATCAACCATTGTGCACAGTAATTTGTTCGTTTATTATCGATGCACCAATTATTATAATGTCGTATTAAATCATCAAATTTGCGAGCGACAGCCACAGCTCGTTCGAATTCCGCGTGTCGGATGCACGACAGCAACGTCGACAGGATCATGTAAAGGCATCGATTGTACCGATTCATCAGCTGCTGAGCACAACCCACTATGTTATCCTCCTCGCAATAGTTCATGGCGCCTTTCGCATAATATGTCCAGACGCAATATACACCGCACGCGATTAGCGAATATGCTAATAATAGACGAAATCTGAGGGGTACGCGAGATCGCTCGTCGATCGTGTGCGGATGACACCCGTAAAAACGCGACGCGTACAGCAACCATCGGCAATTTTCCAGCATGATTTCACGTGAGAAAAACCGTGACTGATTGTCGTCATAGTGTGCTACCGTATTACCTTCGCTTAGATAAAATAAAAATGTCCCTTTATGAACCGGGTCGACAAAGTAATAATAACGATTTATTTTATCGCGTGTAGATCTTTCACAAATAGTGATTGAGATCTGTCGCTGTGAAATTTCTTACAATTACATTGACCATTATTTTTTCTTTAAGAGATTTTTTTGATAGTTTCTGGGAAAAAAGAGATCATAAAAGTAATTTGTTTAATTATTTTTTCCTTGTTTATTACTTGATATTTAGCCCCATTTGTCTTGACAAATGTTTTTATTTATATTTGTGAAACCATTAATGTGTATACACGTAATATTTATCATATACATTTGTATTTATTGATCAAATAATGTCAGAACGCATACAATTGATTGATGGGAAAGATTTATAATGGATCTTGCAATGGGATTATTACTTTTATCATTATCGTTATCTGTAAAATATTTTCCTCGTATTTTTTCTATTTTTATTTCCTATTCTTAGTGTTTTTCTATCTTATTTTCTAATTATTATTGTTTTATTATTATTATTTATTATTATTATCATCTTTGATTAAAATCCATATTCTAATATAAGACAAATTCAATCTTTATGACAAATTTTTATATATTTTTAATTTCTCATTCCACATATTTCATCATGTTTAATATGTAGAAAAAAAGATTTATTGTAACATTTTCTATAGATATGATAATATTTATTGTCCGAATATAAATATTTTATCTCATTAAGAGTTTAATAATTTTATGAATAGGATAATGTTAATAAAAGCATTAAGAAATAATAACATTAAATTTCTGCTTACAGGGTTCTGGAAAACTTTATCTATTCTGTTTTTCTTTCTTTATTGCTGTAGTCAATTTTCTTTAAATGTTAAAAATTTGGGAATTTAAAGATCGAAATTTGACTTGATTAAATTAGAGTTAAAATGCTTTATTTACCAAAATATTAGGTCGTCCAGGACTTTGGAGCCATATATCTTGTATAATTTCAATAAAATCAAAGCACAGTCCGAATTCTGAATATTAAGCACAGATTCTCCGGAATTATTTATTTATTTATTTCTCGTATTTGTTCGTTTAGCTTATCATCCAAGTTCAATGAATAGACAAAGCTAGGACCACATATGTCAATATAATACCAAACACCTATATAATAATATATAAATATTAATAAGTAGATTTAAAAAAACATTGGCTAATATCACATTACTCGAAAATTGATATTCAAACTATATATTTCAAGAAATCGATATTGCAGAAATTAATTTTTGATTTATAATCACATTATTTAAGTAAACGAATAATTTGAATAAATTATAAAATTTGATTTAAGAAACTTAATCTTTCCATTTGATAATTTTCTCAATTTTATTTGAAGATTTAAATGTTGTTTTGGGTATTGTACTATTAAAAATAAATTTTAATTATATATGAACAGAACAATGTAACAATAATAAACAGATAAAAGTAATTTGATGTAAAAACAAAAAGAATGCATTAAATAAAATAAAACAATTTTTTTTGTTGAATCAATTTCTTATGCTCAATAGATTCAGTTTTTTAATTTTGATGAAATTAAAAATTTTTAAATAATTAAAAATCATTTTTCTAGTTCTGATTGAGCCTTTAAGTAATCGAAATTTGATTTCTCAATTTTTTGTAACATATGAATTGCCAACAAAATTATATTAGTCTTAATATGTTTATATATGTATATAAGTTTAGTAATTAATAGATTATAAAAATATCGATTACCGAGTATGCAAGACTGTTATCTAAATTAAATAAACCACAGACTCTAATGCGTAATGGATATATTCGAATACGTATTCCCAAGTCGATCGCTTCCTAAAAAACAAAAAATATCCACAAAAATGTACACATGTTTATAATATTTTGTATTAAGAACAAAATATTAATTATACTAATTATTAAATGATTAAAAGTAGTTAAAAATTTGTCTTTACTAAACAGTAAAGACGATTTGAGAAAGAGATGCATTAAAATAATTACTCACACTTGAAAATTCGGTTTGTTTGAATACGGAAGTTTTCGTTAAAAATACGGCCAATGCGTTTGCCTAAAATATTTTATTAAAATTGGTATTAAAACAATCATTTCGCTCGTCAAGGAGACCATCAAATATACGTACTTGATAACATGTTACTTGACAAATGTAACAAATAGAGATAAATTGTAGTATAAAATATAACATTATAATAAATTGAATGCAAGTCATGGCGATTACTATTTCATATAAATTGAGGAAGATAAACGTTGCAATGTCTATTTCCATGCATATGATCCAAAAAAATAACTGCGGACTATAATAAGAATTCAAATGATGTGTTGCATCCATTAAACAGCTGTGCAACTGTTGAAGATTCGAGATTGTAAGACGATTAATGTGCATTGCAGATGCGATATAGATGCCGACACCCATTCCTATGTGAAAAAAGTTCAACACATTATTAAAATTATATTACAAGAATAATATTACAATGAAATTGTTTAACTCTTTGCGGAGCAAAATTCGGATACATGTACCACCTTTTCTTTCTTGTTTTTTTTTTAATATTTTCGTCACATTTACTAAAAACTTATACATATTGATATAATTATTAGATACTTATATTGATATAATTTATACTATCAGAAGTTATTACTTTTACTTTTTCAAAAAATATTTTAATTAATTAAAATATAAAATTTTTAAGTAAAATTATAGAACTAAAAGTTTAAAGAAATTCTAAGCATATCATATTATATAATATGTAATTTATAGAAAATTTTTCAAAACTTAATGTTAAAAAAATTTTGATTATTATTATACTGAAAAAACTTGATATAAAAATGTGGAAATAAGCATTTCTTTTTGCAAAAAAGCAATTTAGGTCAATGATTAAATTTTTTTTAAGAATGAGGTGAAACCACTTTCACCACATATAAATACAATAGGTAAATAAGATATAACGAAATTAAGTATAAAATTTCAAAATTGCATATTTCAGGAAATATAGCCACGAAATTTAAATAGAGTATTAATACTTAAGAATATATTTTCTACAATATATGTCGAAATGAAAATTATCGATGCTATGTAATATAAATAAATATTTACTACACTTTATCCTGCTTAGTCGGTCATTCTGAATTTATAATATTTTTCTTCAGATTTCCAGCAATCCAAAAAAATTAGGCTTAATTTGAACAAAAGTAATTTTTATAAACAAATTTTATTAAACAGTTTATTGCATTAATCCCTTTAAAAGAAAATTCAAAATTTGAATTTAAATAGTAACCAAAAAACTGTAGTTTAACTTGAGCACAAATAAAATGTTTCATAAATATAATCTGCCACATTAACTATTATTTAAAATTTTTGAAGATTAATTTCAAATTCGTAATTAGCGACCCGAAAAACATACAAATACAAATTTTAATAAGAATTCTTTTAACAAAAAGAAACGGTCCCACAAGAAATTAAAGAATCCATTCTATCTAGATATTATACTAGCTTTTTAAACATGCATTAATTTTACATAGCAATAATTATTATAAAATCAGTATTTGATCATTGTAAGCAATATTTTAAGATTGACTTAAATCAGTAATCTAATTCGTTGATCGATTGATGATTTGATACCAGTCAGTTTGCGATACAGTCCATTGATGCGGCAAAATCTGCGACACAATGCATCGTACAGGAAATAAAATTTCGCAACCTCCATCGAGAATGTAATTCGCATTGTGATTTGTATCGCAAATATATACAAAGGCACTACTCCAGGCACAGCAAATGCTACTGCTATGGCAATGGATGTCCAAGAGACAAAAATCCCTGATATAATCAACCATTGCGTACAGTTATTCGTTCGTTTATTATCGGTGCACCAATTATTATAATGTCGTATTAAATCATCGAATTTGCGAGCGACAACCACGGCTCGTTCGAATTCCGCGTGTCGGATGCAAGAGAGCAACGTCGTCACGATCATGTAAACGTATCGGTTGTACCGATTTATCAGCTGCAGAGCACAAGCCATTATGTTATTCCCCTTGCAATAGCTGGTGCTGCCCTTCGCATAATATGTCCCGACACAATACACACCGCACGCAATTAGCGAATATGCTAATAATAGACGAAATCTGAGGGGTACGCGAGATCGCTCGTCGATCGTGTGTGGATGACAACCGTAAAAACGCGACGCGTACAGCAACCATCGACAATTTTTCAGCATGGTTTCATATAAAAATCGTGGTCGTCACCACAGTAGGCTACTGTATTGCTTTCGCTTGGATAAAATAAAAGAGTCCCTTTATAAATGGAATAATATAAATGGAATAGATAAAGTAATAATAATGATTTATTTTATCGCGTGTAGATCTTTTAAATAGTGGTTGAGATCTGTCGCTGTGAAATTTCTTACAATTACGTTAATAATTATTTTTTCTTTAAGAGATTTTTTGGCAGTTTATGAGAACAAAAGAGATGATAAAAATTTGTTTAATAATTTTTTTCTTATTTATTATTTGACATTTAATCTCATCTATCTTAATAAATATTTGTATTTATATATGTAAAACCATTACGCATAATATTTATCATGTACACCATGATATACATTTGTATTTATTAATCAAATAATGTCGGAACGCACGCAATTGATTGAAGGTGAAGATTTATAATGGATCTGGAAATAGGATTATTACTTTTTTCATTATCGTTATCTAATAAAATTGTCAGTATTACAGGAATAATAGTATAAGCTCGCGTATTAATTATACAGAGTGGCCCCGAACGTTCCAGCCAGACTTTGAGATCGTATAGGAAATTTAATTCTGAACAAAAAATTTCCGATAAACATCAGTCGAAAAATGCCTCCTTAAGAAGTTATCGCTCAAAAACCTCTGATGAAGGAAGAGGAACAGGTGAGAAAAAAAATGAAATAAAAAGAAAATGAAGCTAAATGAATTTTTTGAAAAAAACGATAAAAATAAAAAATAAAAATCTTTTTCTTTTATGAAAATAAAATAAAAGTTAGTTAAAAAAAAATTATTTTATTTTCATAAAAGAAAAATATTTTTATTTTTTATTTTTATCGTTTTTTCAAGAAATTTATTTAGTTTCATTTTCTTTTTATTTCATTTCCTTTTCACCTTTTGCTCTTCCTTCATTAGAGGTTTTTGAGCGATAACTTCTTAAGGAAGCATCTTTCGATCCATGTTTATAGGAAATTTTTTGTTCAAAATTAAATTTCCTATAAGATCTCAAAGTCTGGCTGGAACGTTTGGAACCACTCTGTATAATTAATACGCGAGCTTATACTATTATTCCTGTAATACTGACAATTTTATTAGATAACGATAATGATAAAAGTAATAATCCTATTTCCAGATCCATTATAAATCTTATCCTTATAAATCTTCACCTTCAATCAATTGCGTGCGTTCCGACATTATTTGATTAACGCTGGAACGTTCGGGGCTATCCTGTGTAACGAGAAATTATACACAAATATTACACGAAACATACGGCAAGAAGGAACGTAAGACGTAACATACTAACAACGATATCGATATTTACATCGTTTTATCCTAATAGTAATAATATTTTTCTCGCTTTTTTCTATTTTTATTTTATTATTTTTCTATTTTATTCTATTATTAGTTCTATTATTAGTTCTATTATAGTGTTTTTCTATCTTATTTTATGATTATTATTGTTTTATTATTATTATTAATTATTATTATATTATCTTCGATTTAAAATCTATATTCTAATATAAGATAAATTCAATCTTTATGGCAAGTTTTCTATATATTTTTAATTTCTCATTCCACATATTTTATCATGTTTAATATGTAGAAAAATAGGTTCATCGTATCATTCTCTGTAAATATTTATCGTCAAAAAATAAATATTTTAATAACAGTTTAATATTTTCAAGTGATTTAATACTAATAAAACCATTCGAAAAGAATAATATTAAATTTTTGCGTGCAAGATCTTGGAAAACTTTATCTATTCCGTTTTTCTTTCTTTATTGCAGATGTCAAGTTCCTGTAAGGGTTAAAAATTGGGAATTGGGAATTTAAAGTTCGAAGTTTGACTTGATTAAATAAATCAGGATGCTTTATTTTCAAAATATTCGATCGTCCACATCTTGTATAATTTTATTAAAATCTAAACGCGGTTAAAATATATTAAGCACAAATTTTTCAGAATTATTTATTTATTTATTTCTCATCTCTCTCTGTTCGTTTGAGCTTATTAATTTATAAGTTCAATGACTGGATGAAGCTAGGACCACATACGTCACTATAATGCCAAGCATCTATAATATATACCCATAATATGTATATTAATAAGTTGATTTATAAAAGTATTGGGTAAACATATTATTCGATAATTTCAACATTCAAATTATGTTGTGAGAAATCGATATTGCAGAAATTAATTTTCGATTTAGAATCATATTATTTAATAAACGAATAATTTGAATAAATTGATTATAAATATGTTTGATTTAATCAAATAATTTCTCCGTTTTCAAATAATTTCTTCAATTTTGTTTGACTATTCAAATGTGAGAAGTATTATATTGTTAAAAATGAAATTTAAATGTATCTAAATAGATGTAATAATAATAAACAGATAAAAATAATTCGACATAAAAATAAAAAGAATGCATTAAATAAAATAAAACAATTTTTTTTGTTGAATCGATTTCCTATGCTCGATAGATTCAATTTTTTAATCTTGCTAAAATTAAAAGTTTTTAAATAATTAAAAATTATTTTTCTAGTTTTGATTGAATCTTTAAATATTCAAAATTTGTTTCTCAATTTTTGTAAAATAATAATCGCCAACATAATTATATCAATCTTAATATATTTATGTATATATATAAGTTTAATAATTAATAGTTTGAAAAAATATCAATTATCGCGAATGCAAGACTGTTATCTAAATTAAATAAACCACACACTCTAATTCGTAACAGATAGATTCGAATATATATTCCCAAGTCGATCGCTTCCTAAAAACAAAAAAGACATCCCAAAAACGTACACATGTTTATAATATTTTGTATTAAAAACAAAATGTTAATTATATTCCCTTAATTATTAAATGAATAAAAGTAGTTATTACAAAAAAAGCAATTTAGATAAACGTTTATTTTATTTATTTATTTTTGAGGTAAAAATGCTAGAGTCCCTTTCCCGCCTATGCAAGTGTAAACAAAACATGTAAACACACAAATAGGATATAATAAAATAGTATATAAAATAAGTATGAAATTTTAAAATTACATATGTTTTTTTTTAGGAATCGAAACAAAACGCCACAAAATTCTAATAGGGTATTATTTAGCAATATACCCTCTACAATTTATATATGTTGAAATAAAAATTATATAAACTGTGTAACTTAAAATAAAAATTAAAATAAACATTTATCGCGATTATGCTTATTGTTAGTCAGCCATTTTGAATTTAAAATATTCAACTTTAGATTTCCAGCAATCCAAAAAACTAGCAAAAGCTTAATTTGAACAAAAATAATTTTTATTAAAAAGTTTACTGCATTCATTCCGCCATTTAAAAGAAAAATCCAAAATTTGAATTTAAATAATAACCAAAAAACCTGGAATTTTAACCTGGATAGAAATAAAAAGTTCCATAAAAGATTGATTTTAAATTCGAAATTAGCGATTCGAAAAACATGCAAATACAAATTTTAATAAAAATTCTTTTAATAAACAGAAACGGCCTCACAAAAAGTTAAAGAATCCATTCTATGTAAATTATATTAACTTTTTAAACATGCATTAATTTTACATGAATAATCATTATAAAATCATTTGATCATCGTAATTAATATTTTAAGATTAACCCCGCGAAAAACAGTTAAATATGATTTAAATATGGTTCATATTGCTTATTTATATGAATTAAATTAAACTCAAATAAAAATCAAATGTCAAATTTAAAAGTAATTAAATTTAAATATGTTTTTAATATGCATCAAAATTAAATTTGAATACGTTCTTGCTATCAGATTTAACTTGTCCATATATATATATGGATCATATATATGCCTGCACAATATTTAATAATAATATAATAATAATAATATTTAATAATAATATTTAAATAATATTTAATAATAATATTTAAATATTTAATAATAATACTTAATAATCTAACCAACCTGAATTTCTAATTTGATTTATATTTGGAACAAATAAGATTTTAATTAACACACAATTAGTATTAATTTTATTCAATTCAATTCAAATGAAGGTTTTATTAACGTCTATATTAAGTTCATTTTTAACTGTTTTTCGCCGGAAATATAATTCAATAATCTAGTTCATTGATCGATTGACGATTTGATACTAGTCAGTTTGCGATACAGTCTATTGATGCGGCAAAATCTACGATACAGTGCATTGTACAGCAAATAAAATTTCGCAACCTCCATCGAGAATGTAATTCGCATTATATTCCCTAATTCGCATTATATTCCCTTTATGATTAGTGACATAAACGTGCGCACGGGTACGTGCATCATAAACACAGTTATTATGGTAACGAATATCCAAGCGACGAGAATCATGGATATAATCAACCATACGGTAATTGGTTCGTTTATTATCGGCGCACCAATTATTATAATGTCGTATTAAATCATCGAATTTGCGAGCGACAGCCACGGTTCGTTCGAATTCCGCGTGTCGGATTGTCGCATCGTTATCGACACGACAGCAATGTCGACAGGATCATGTAAAGGCATCGGTTGTACCGATTTATCAGCTGCTGAGCACAACCCACTATATTATTCTCCTCGCAATATTTGGTGTTGCCCTTCGCATAATACGCCCCGACACAATACACACCGCACGCAATTAACGAATATCCTAATAATAGACGAATTCTGAGGGGTACGCGAGATCGCTCGTCGATCGTGTGCGGATGACACCCGTAAAAACGTGACGCGTACAGCAACCATCAGCAATTTTCCAGCATGATTTCACGT